CTTACTGCTTAAGTTTTTCTATATGCCACCAGCTTAAGGGCCCTCATACATGAAATGACATAACTACATGTGCATAGCATAAGACTGTATGGGCCAATGAGCATTGAATATTTAGCCATTATATTGATGCTTGATGCTCAATACTCGATGCTTATTGGTCCATACAGTCTTATGCTATGCACATGCAGTTATGTCATTTCATATGTGAAGGCCCTTAGGGCTTTCACACACACCTGCCATAGCCATAACGTAAAATGTATCGTAAGAATTGACCAATCACATTGAGATTCGTCGAATTGTAAGGTCGCCATTTTGATGAATACTTGATGATCAATTCTTACGTTACTATTATGTCAATTTGTGTGTGGAGCCCTTAAGGCATCATAACAGTAACGTAAGACGTACCGTAAAAATGAACCAATTACAATCGAGTATTCACAAAAATGGCGACCTTACGGTTCGACGATACTCAAAGTGATTGGTCAATTCTTATGCAGGATTTACACCGCGTCCGATTTCCAACGTACAACGTCCGATATCCAATAAGAGAACAGCTTTTTAATAGAGAATTTAATTCTCCATTGGAAAACTGTTCTCCTATTGGATATCGGACGTCGTATGTCAGACATCGGACGCGGTGTGAATCCTTCATTACGATACGTCTTACGTTACTGTTATGTCAATTCGTGTGCGGCGCCTCTTAAGGCCAAATTACACTAGCGATTGGCGATTGACGATTGACAATTAAAGATTAGATTTTAACGAATCAACAACAAGCTTCAACTTTGGCTTGCTTCGTTCCAATTGATCAACTTGACCACTTTTGCAATTTTCACCACGCTGTGTCAAAACGATCTTCAGAGCTGCGTTCCAAAACTCTATTCGACGGGTAGAGTAGCATTTAATTGATCAATAAGAACAAACTAGGATTTCTTTATCATGATTGGTCGAGTAGAGTTGTGGAACGTAGCTCAGTAGGTCAATTCTCTACTTTTAGGGCTACATAACTTTTAGGGCTATTCTACAATTGAGTAAACATGGTTGTAAATGGTTGTAAGTGATTACGATACCAATCAGAATAAAGTAATCAATGAACAAAACATTCTGATCGGTTTATCAATCGAAACTCGCGCGCTCCACGACACGCATTCGACGTCACGCGGAAGTGACAGGCGCGTGCGCCATCTAGTGAGAATTGACGTGATCGATGAAACCGGAAGCCGGGCGGTCCGTTCTCGTGTACAGATGCCTCGCCAGCGTTGGCCGCAGTAGGCCACATGTGTCTCGTGCACCGCTTTCCCGTGGAAAAGGCTCTCGCCGAAGATGCGCCGTGTTTACGTAACCGTAAGCGGTAACGCGGTACCACGCCGGTTCTAATAGACGTGCGTACTCATCGTGAGCATAGCACGCGGTCATATCGGACACGCAGGCAACGCCGTCGCGAGTTTACGGGTCGAGCAGTGAGCCAAATCGAGACGACACAGCAGTCTGTCTGCGCTGTTGTTCGCTGCCAGCGCTCTCGCAGCGAACCACGGGTGTATGGTAGTGTACAGACGATCGTTCGTCCGGCAAGTACATACGCAATTTCGATCGTGTCGCGCGAGTTCGCGCCGGTAGTTCATCGATATCGTCGCTAAAGCGCCGAGTCAGCGCGCTCGCCTAACCCATACGCCGGAACACGAGGCGCCTCGTGCGTCGTAATTTTTGCTGCCGCGGTCGAACGTACGCGCTGTCGCAGAGGTCGGGCCAGTGCAGCGCGCCTCGTGTCGCGTTACCGAACGCGCCGCAGTCGCAGCCTAAGCGCGTCAAGTCAGTGAATTCGTTCGTACGGTGTCGCGCGTGCAGCGGCCGCGTGTTCTCGTGCAGGCACTGCGCGCGCCTGCTGAGAAGTGCCGATTAGAGAGAGAGGGAACTGTCGCGCTGTTTCTTCCGTCGCAGTGAGTTCTCAGTCGCGTATCTTCGTATCACTGACGAGAACAATCGTCGCGAGCTAGTCGGCTTCTCGACATGAAGAATCTCTGTGCCTCGAGACTGTGAAGTGGAGGTTAGATCGCCCGTCTGCGTGACTTGCGCGAGTGCGAAGTTGCTCCATCTTTCTCGAAGGAGAAACGAGAGCTGTGCTCCAACTCCTCTCGCGAGTACGACGAGTCCGGAAGCGCGACGGTGGACCCTCGTGGCAGGATCGAGTGCGCACAAGGTGCGACCTCGTGCACGGTTCTTCGTGGGCCTCGTGTTTTTGTCTCACGGTAGCCTCGTGTGCCTGCAAGATGGCGGCCAAGGTAGCCAGTGGCGCGCAGGGCGGTAGCGAACGGCCAGGAGGCCCCGGTCAGTCCTACGCCAGTGTGCTCAACCCGAAGAGTGGCATCGAGAACCGAGCGAGCACATGCACTGGCAACAATAAAGAGAACATGGGCGGTCAGTCTGTCAATCAGGTGACAACGACACTGCAGCAACATCAGCGTCAATTGCATCATAGCCATCATCAGCAGCAACAGCAGCAGCAGCAGACGACAACTGCGAAAGAGCAGAACACGTCAGCGATGGCATCGAGCGTCGTCAAGGGTAAGTCCTATCAGAGAACCGGCCGGTGTCAGCCGACGCAGACGACGCAGCCGACACAGACGGCGAACAAGTGTCCGGACAAACGTTTCTGCAGTGACAGTTTATCAAATGCGCCGTGGAGTGTCCTCGTCGAAATGGACACACCGCCGATCGCCGGCGTCCGTAAGGAGGCGCTGACCGCGCCGCCTCGCGACAATGACGTCGACGAGCAGTTGAACAACGGCGACGTGGGCAGTGACGGCGAGTTTCAAACGGTCGCGCCGAAGAGCGCCCGGCGCAAGGAGAAGTTGCGCGAGCAGCATCATCGTGATCATCATCGGGAACGTCATCGGTTGCGCGACAATAGCCGCCATCAGCAGCAAACACGTGGTCTCGGCGGAGCCAGCGCCGGCGCTGGAGGCGTCGGTAGGGGTGGCAGTAACGAGAGGTCGCACAAGGAACGCGGCGACCGTAACGTCGCCTTCATAGTCGCCACCGCCGCCGCCGCCGCCACTGTCACGGAGCACAACTCTAAAGAAATTCACCGGAGTGACGATCAGGATGTCGAGACCGAAGCGCAATCGGCACCCCCGCCGCCTTCCATCAAATACGTCGAAGCGCCCCTGCCTGCGGTGAATCCCTGGACGAAAAGCAGAACGTCCGCGACGACGCAAACCGCCGCGACCTTGGCCTCCACTAGCGTCTTTGCGATGCAGGTTGACAGGCAGAGCGAACGAGAAAAGAGGGTGTTACAGCCGCAGCAGCAACCGCCGCAGCAGCAGCAGCAGCAGCAGCAGCAGCAGCAGCAGCAGCAGCAGGTTGCCACTACCGGTGAGTTGAATCGCGATACCGAAAATATCAATACGCGAAAAAGTACATTTCATAAATCTGTTCTTTGTTCCTAAACTATTGCACACTTGTGGAATTTGGAAAGATATATAACTGCCTTGTAAAAAAAGAAAGAAGGAAAACTAGTGAAGGTTAATTACAATTCTCAAGTACAAAGAATAAATCTCGTTCTTCTGTAGACCTATTCGACGGTGTCGTTATTGTTGCGAAGTTAGAGAATCGCATATCTGATCCTTTTAAGAATTTATATATGTGGAGAAAAATTCGTGTTCTTCGTGTAGAGAGATGATCATGCTGCAAGCTTCCCCGTAGTTCTGCAAACGTGCAATCTGTTAAGTTTTTCGAGCTAATCGTTGCGACATTGCAATGCTGAGACTTTCAAGCTCGCTCGCAATACGCGACGTAAGCTTGACGTAAGTGGAGTTAGAAATCAAAGTAATCTATTTCGCTAACGCGAAATCGCCCACGTCTAATCGTTTACGCCGAATGAATGAACTTTACTTCACTTACGCTAAGCTTACTATAGACGAGGCTTAATGAACTGATCAATGTGCGCGAGTTATCCTTCTTAATATCGAGAAACTTCTTTTCGTCTTATTTCCTTAGTGCGAAAAAATATTCAAAATTTTCTGGGAAAAGAATTCCGAATACTGGTTCTCCGTGTTCGTTTTGGATTCAAGTTCCGTTTTTTTCATGCGAAAATATGTATAAAATGTATCTAAAAAAATTTGTTTTGTTCGCACAAGAACAGACCTGGGAACAAAGAAAACCGTATTTCCTTTCTGGAAAATACGAAGCTTTGTTCAACCTTTTGCTTGTAGATATGACAAAGCGCATGAAAGAAAAGTCCTAAAAGAGATCAGGTTAGCTTTTAGAAAGATACGTCTTTGCTACCTGCGAGGATCGAGACTATAAGTTATAGAATCCTTTCTACAAAGGTCCGCATAACTGTTAAAATATTGAAAGTCTCAAGAGTAGACTTTATAATTTATAATCCTAATAAAGTGTCCTTTGAAGTATTTAGAAAAATTTTCGTACAAATATAAAGACGGTAATTACCTTGTGGTAATACGGTTCTCCACTGTACAATGTGTGTTGCAAGTTTCTTTGATTATATGTTGAAACTATTACTTTACTTTTCACTTCTTTGACGCGATTTAAGTCATAAGTCCTGTTTTTAAATTTGAGAAGAAAAAAGACGTAATTGTTTGAGAGATTTGGTGATACCTTTTTTTGCGGTACCTTTGTCGTTATTATAGATATTTTTATATAGATATTTCTCCGAAAATTTCGAAGGCCTTTTATCGTAACAACAATGCAACATTCAAATAATAAATTCGAGCGTTCTTTTCGTGGAGAGAATATTATTCTCTCGTAAAGTTCGTAAATCGTCTTGTACTTTGCCCAGTTGCGAAATAGCCTTATCGTCGTTCTCCAAACTTTCCGACACGCAGCAAGGGTGTTACGATAACGCTTACATAATTATTAATTTGTTGTGCGTATTTGCGCGAACGTTTTATTCCTGTGGCGCGCTGTCGCTCGTCCGATGTGCTCCGTCGAGATTCAAGAAACGGTGTCGGGATACTCGATTTCGCGAGATATTTCCTATAAATAGATCGGCCACACTTCGATATCAAATGTTCTCATAATCCTCGAAATTTTAACATGAACTCGATCGAGCGAGGAACACGCCGACAAATGTTACTCATTTGCGTTTGCACAAATTTTCACCCATCGAGGTCCTCGAATTTTTCTACTTTCAAAGGTGACAAAGGATCTCGTGCATAGACGTTTCTTTAAGCCGGGATCAGACTAAAGATTGTCGATTGACAAATGACGAGTAGCGATTAGTGTTCAACCAATCCAAGCAACATAGCCAATAGCTACTTTGCTTTAATTGGTTGGAAACTAATCGTCAATCACCACTTGTCAATCAGCAATCGCTAGTCTGATCCTGATAGACAGATTATCTTAGATAGATCACACAGGCGAGATTGAAAAGCAGACAACGCATCATAGTACGCTCGTAATGTTTGAGCGTTATTTAAAAGGATGCCTTAGGATCGCGAGATATCCACGCGGGACAGACCATGCGGGAGGTCTGTGTTGGGGCGAGGAGGTATATATTACGAAACGTGTAGCATGAAAATAGAAACGCGCGAGTGTGCGCGCGCGCGCGCGCTGAAAAATCGAAGCGCGAGACGGAGAGAAACGCACAATCTTTATCTTGCGACGATTCCCGTCGCACTATAACGCAAGTTCCGTTATCTCAGGGGCAGGGAGGGAAGAGAGCATTTGATAATTGCACGAGATGTAGATCTGAAGTTGAATCGTCGAGAAGAGAAATCCCCGAGTCCGTCGCGCGACGGACATATCGATACTCTTGGGCCGTTTGATAATCGTGATGATAAAAACGACAAATTACGTGAGCGGCCAAGCAGGAAACCTTATCTTCGTGCTTTTAACACGTCTCGGATACACGTGGCATCGCAATGTCCATGTTGGCACAGGGAGATCGACATGTTGTCTGCGACGATTAATTTGCATATCAAGAAATTCGAGTCGCTTTCCGTGAAGCGAAAACTATCATTCGTTGTTTCTTTCTTGCTCTTTTTTGCCACGAGATATCGCTTTCCCCGTGTTTATTGCAACGCAATATTTTTAGTGCTTTTTTAAATGCCCTTTTTTAAATTTAACATTTGTAAACGACTTTTTTTAACATAAAGCAGATATATCTGAACGTGTATCTAATCTTGGACAGCTTTGATCTTTAAACTTTTATTGATATTTGAACTTTCAATGTAAAATATTTACGCTCAAGATAAAATTTATACTGAAATATTTATGTCCAGTGTAAAATATTACATATGTGTGTGCGTGTGTGTATCAATATGCATGTATTTTGAATACATATACTCTATGTTAAAAGTTCAACTATTCGTATTTAAGGACCAAAACAATAAGAATGTTCAAGGTTAGATATGTGTCCGGGTGCTTTCTCCTTTATAAAAAAAATTCTTACAATTTTTACCTTACAAAACTATATAAATAGATAAAACAAGAAAATTAAATGAAACTAATTTACTGCGATGAATATGAGCCTTTAATATAGGTGCGATTTTACTCACACCTATATTAGGTATGAGTAAAATCGGTCAGGTCGGTATTTGATAAAAAAATTTATATTGCTTATTATATTTCAGACATTGTATACTTTTGGTTTGCAAGAAGAAAAGCTGTTACGTCCCATAAAACGGCTTTTTTCCATGAAAAAAAAACAAGCTCCTCACAACGCTGTGCGCCGCCGAATTTGCGAGTCGCTATTACGCCGTGATTACGCGGACGCGCAATTGATCCATTTGTCGCACTGATCGCACCACGAGACGAGCGTCACGGGGAGAAGGCGACGCGAGCGAGCGAGCGAGCGAGCGAGGGCAACGACATTGACACTCTTTCCCTGGCGCGGTGTAGACGCCGCGAGTTACGACGGTGCGGTTACGAGGGTGTCCGTAGTGTGACGCGCCAGGTCTTACTTAACAGTCCGTTCGATCGAACGAACGTTCACTTTCGTCCGAGGGAGCGGTACGCGCGCGAACTTTCTCGATTTAACCGTCAGCTCTCCGGCATAGCGACGTGGAAAGGCGGACTCTCGCGCGCGTTCACAATGGCAAATTCCTCCCGATCTCTGGAAACGAGCCGCGGCCGAATTGTCTGGCGAGTCTCTTCCGGTCCCTTCTCTGAAGAGGAACTTGAAAAACCGCGAGTATCCGTTCGGGTAAATTTAAGCCCCCCAAGAAGTCGACGCGAACGAAAAGTTTCGTTGAATTCGTCAATGAAATTTTTTCACTTTTCACGAATCCAAGGAAATAGATCGATTCGCAAATTAGTGCTAAGACTTTAAAACGTAAGCGCGATCGCATTGTAGACGACCCCTATAAATTCTTGAAATCTTTATCTTAAAAAACTCTACTTTCCAATCATTTGGTTCAGGATACTCACATACAGATAGATATAAACATCTAGCTCGATAAATATTAAGTCTGTTGTTTCTTTTAATTTGTTGAATTAAGATACATTTTTTGCCTTGAAGTGAAACAAATGTATTACCGGAAGTTGAAAGAAAAAGGAACGAAATTTCAGGACGACACCAGAGTACAACTAAAAAAGGAGACAGGCTTATCGTCAGTCATAAATATGACAAATATCCTAAGTCCTAATCTTTATCTTCTAGGCTGTGAGGAAGAAATTTGGTTCATAGATATTTAGATAAAAATTATCGAGGAAACGTCCGAGTTCTCGTTCATCGTATTTCTGAGATTACTGAGATAAAAACATTTCTCATCTTAGGCCGAAAATAAAGAATAGGTCTATTTTCGAAGAAAACTTGTAAACTATTGCAATGAGCTCGGGTGTAATAAGTATGCTTTCTTTCACTGTGACTTATTGCACTAACGTGCACTGGTCCAGAATTTCTTCCAAAACTTCTTTCTTTCGAGCAAAATCTCACGTGTCGCAAAATCTCGAGAGAGAGTTGAACGATTTTATTCCATGCATTTGATATTACGTTGCGACACATTCACACGCGCCTCGTAACAGGACACGCGTGCTCTTCAATGACGATTCGTATCCTTCGACGTTTGTTTTCGTCGGTATCGTTGACCGGTCGCAATGGCGTATGCCATACCTCTCAGCCAATTTGCCTGAAAATATTTTCCAATTTCTGATGACTCATTCTTCTATCGCGTGAGAAATGACGATTTCGCTGTGTTTCAAGGGCTTCCGCGCTTTTCATGGTCAGTTTATTCGCTTGTTCATTTCTTCCTCTTTGCTCGATGTGAATTTCAGGGTCAACGAGATAACGTTTCTAATCACTCCCTCAGAGTGCCGTTTGCGTGGATTTGTTGTCCTCTCCCCCCCTTCTCTTTTATCTCTATTGTGTTGGAGAATTCAACGTTCTGTAACTAACAGATGGTGCGACACGA